TAAGGCTCAAACCGCTTTTCAGACGAGCGCTCCTTGCTACCTGCAGCCGACCTATTACAGCCCCTGCGCCGTGGCCGCGTCCCCTCTACGCCTCCTGCTACGCCGCGTCCCCAGCTGCCTCCGCGGCAGCCACGAGCCCATTTACTGAAGAAAACAGTAAACGTATTTTACCCCTTTAGGCCTTTATTTTGATAAAATTGGTCAAGCCCACATAAGGCAATATACACCACAGTTAAAACCGCCCCCCTCCCCCCCACAAAATAATAAAATAAATAACACAAATGAATATAGTACGTAATGTAGTGTTTTGTTTTGCAGTATAGAAATTCCACACAATGATTCTGTTTAAAAAGGTAAAAATGATTTATAATACACAGTTATAATGTCATCATGGTGCCCGCATAGAAAACTGACATGCAATCCATGCCTACACTGCGCAGTATAAATAATATGCAACTAAAAATACAAAGAACAGGAACACTACAAATTTGTATTTTTTTTTTTTTTTTTGCCTTTTTGTTTTTTAAAAAGAACGGACACACGTAACAAACGCTACCTGCGCTTTCACATTGCCATCACAGTGACGGGGGTTCCGTTTTTCAGAGGAATAAACGCCTTTTTTTTTTTTTTTTCTCCTTTTTCTCCTGAAAGCCGAGCGTACGTCGCGACCTGCGGGGCGCCGAGGGGCCCTCCTCCTCCTGCGCGTACAGAGGGGGTTTCCAGGGCGAGCGCCATGCTCCGTAAGGGACGATCCCCAGCCTTAATTCTTGTTTCTACAGAAATCCAAGCTCTTACAAGCAAGCACAGTCACGACCTTACTTTTGAGGGAAGTTTAAACGATTCTGTAAGTTATCGGGCGCTGCTTTTCCGCAAACTCGGGGGGCAGCTCGCTCTTTTCATCCGTAAGCGCTCTTGTCGCGTGGGTTTGCGCCAGCGTTCTCAGGCACGCTTGTTAAAAAAATTCATTAAATTTAATAGAAGGTAAGAAAACGTACAAATAATTAACAATTTCTTAAATTAATTTGCATCATCTTTCTGGAAACCTTTTCCCCTCTTTA